AGTGGTGCTGCCGCAGCCTGCCTCACAAACACAAGGTCCTGGGTTCGATCCCCGGTACCAAAAAAAAAAAAAAATTTCTCACAGTAATGAGCTATTGGAGAAGGATTTTTCTGTTTTTGCTTCTCTGAAAAAGCCTTTATTTTACATTCATTTCGGAAACATACTTGCTAGATATTGAATTCCTAGTTGATAGGTTTTCTTTCATCACTTCAAAGTATTTATTTTGCTTAAAGTTGGTTGCACTTTTAGATCTGTGAGTGTACAGTTTTATGAAATTTGGCATATTTTTGCGTGGTGTATTTTTTCCTTGTGCTCCTCTGAGTTTCCCAGTTAGACACAGGTTAAACTGTAGGAAATGGTCCAGTGGTGGCTGCATCTGTGTCTCTGTTAATTCGTGGGAAGAAGGGGGGTCTCGCGCCCCTGTGCTCCACCTTGGACGGTTTCTAATCACTGTTTCTTCAAACCCGCTGATTCCCCTTCATCTACAGTGTCTAACCTATTGAGTCTTTCCAGTCAGTTTTGTTTCAGATGCTCTTCAGCTCTAGAAGTTGTTTGATTTTCCTCTTTCTTATCTATTTCTCTGGTTATGAACATGTTTTCTCTCAACCTGTTTATATTAGCTGAGTTCTCCTGCTTACAGATCTCAAATTTCTGCTTTTTAACACATGTAGTAATTCTTAGTTGGCTATCAGACATTATAAATTGTGTTTTGTTGAATGCTGGGCATTTTATTTTACTTTTAAAATTCTGGGAAGAAAAATAAAACTTTTGGAATTTCTTTTGGCAGGATGGTAAGTGTCTTGGAGATCACTTTAATCTTTACAAAGATTATTTTAAAACTTTGTTAGGGAAGCTAGAGTAGCCTTTACTTTGTGTGTGTGTGTGTGTGTGTGTGTGTGTGTGTGTGTGTGTACCAGGGATTGAACTCAGGACCTTGCACTTGCAAGGCAGGTGCAGCACCACTGAGCTAAATCCCCAGCTAGAGTAACCTTTACTCTTAAGCCGGGGATTTAGCTCAGTGGTTCTGCTGCCTGCCTCACAAACACAAGGTTCTGAGTTCGATCCCCAGGACCAAAAAAAAGTTTACTTTTAATGCTAAAATAAAAGCTTATCTGTTGTGAACTCAAACAACCAACAGTTGTTCACCAATCTCCTGCTCAGGCTACATGGAATTCATACATCTCCCAAACACTTGTGAGCTGTGGGATTACATGGCTAATTAATTCTTAAAAGTTAGTTTTTACTCAGAACCATAATTTCCCCTTGCACTGCACAGACTACTATTTAGCCAACATTCAAAGGGGGCAGTGTAGATTTATAGACTCTCATTGAAAATGTTATCTGCAATTAATTTCTTCCCCCCTCCCTAACATTTTATCCCTATTTTTATTTCTGTTTCTTGTCATATTGCTCTGGATGATGCATCCAAAACTAAAGTAGTATAGTGACAGTGGTCTGGTTGCTATGTTTTACTTGAAATGCTACTATTTTTGCTTTTTATCATGTTTGCTTTCAGAATTTGATATTCTCTAAGGAAGTTACTCTATTCTTGTTAATAAGAGACCTTTTATGAATTAATGCTAACATTTACTAAAGGATTTGTGGTCATTACATGGTAATTTGAGTATCTGTAGGCCCTACAGTCCAGTGTTTTACATCCTAGAGAAGCTCTCGTGGTATCAAGGCCAAGAGATAGTCATGGGTCACTCAGCATGCTTCTAGGAAGCATGCCGTTGGGCAGTTTTGCCATTGGCCAAACATCGTAGAGTGCCCTTCACAAACTTCCTGCACCCCTAGCCTGGATGATACCGTATATGCCATCATGTGTGCATCCATCACTGACCAAAACCTTGCTACATGGATCACTTATATTAAAAGAAACCAGAAACTGAAGAGGAGAATGGATAAATATCAGTCTCTTGTTACACAGTTTAATACTACACTGAAACAAACATCAGTGAACGGTAGCTACTTGCCTCAGGTTTATCTCACAAACATTGAAATAACAAGTATGCCACAGAAGATAAAAAATTAGTATTTTTTAATAGCAAAACACTTATTGGTACATTTGAGGCATATATAATGATAACGCTCATCATAGGAAATTTGCACCTGTACTCGGTGCTCTCACCTCTTTTCCCGTTCCCCTCGAGACTCTCAACCCCCCGCCTATGTACAGAAGCTTTGCTTCCATTTTTCTTCTTTTTTCACTTTTCTCTTCCTTCCTTTCTCCCTCCTCCCTTGTTCCCCTTCCCATTTGAACACTTTCTTCCCATTTCCCAATATCGATTATACATTTTAGTTACTTCCGCGTATTTTTTAACTTTTAAAGCATATAAAAACTAAGCAGTATATTGTTAAACTAAGTATGATGTACATTTTAGGGATAAATCTACATGGAATGAAACTATTCTGAATAGGCAGTGGAACAACAGTCTGAACTGTGGCTACCCTTGGCGGTTGGCGGAGAGAGGGATGTGTCAGTGCTATGAGAAGGTCGTGGGCGCCGTGTGGGTCTATGGAGGTTGCTTTCTTGTTTTTAAATCTCACTTATACATCATCTGCCATATACATACGAACTGCTGTATAAATTAAGTCATTTACACTAAAATACCCTGCTTATAAGTAAGACACTAACAAGCCACTAAATTGTAAAAACAAACAGCTGGTGATTTCGCTGCTGATAATTCAGTAACTAACGGTAACTTAACCCTAATATCCAAGTTGCTATTCTCTGTCACATTCTTATAAAAACAGTAGCAAATTAAGTACCACTCCCGCCTAGTTTTGGTATTGATTAGATGGTAAGTTCAGGGTGAGTTTGTTGGTATAAATACAGGTTTTAAATGTTAGTTAAAGCCGGGTGTGGTGGTGCACACCTGTAATCCCAGCTTGGGAGGCTGAGGCAGGAGGATCACCATGAGTTTGAGGCCAGCCTGGGCTACATAGTGAGTTTGGGTCAGCCTGCACTACCTTGCGAGACCGTGTCTCAAAAACAAAAGTTGGTTTAAAAACAAAAGCAAGAAGATACTACCCGCTTATTCGAAGTTGAAAATTTTATTAGATTTGTTGATGATACTGACTTTTTATGTCTTCCCCCAGGTTAGTGCCTTAACATTTTAAGAAAGTATGTATAATTTACTGAAGATGTTATAGAATAAGTATGAAACAATATGTATGTGAACTAATGTCTAAATATCTGTACCAAAAGTCACAGGGTAGAAGAATTTGGGACGCTTCATGCGCAATACAGGGCGTTTAAAGCTGTGGTCGTCGTGTGTCAGAGGGGGACTGGAAACCAGCTGCAGAGCGCAGCCTTCGGCATCCAGCACCACTGCCTGGCCGCGGCCCTGGGGCAAACTACCTGCCCTCCAAGCGCAGGCATAAGGGAAGGGAAAGACATGCACCTGCCGATGGTATTTCATAGTCATTATGTGAGATGAATCCTGCAGAGGCCCGAGGATGGGACCTAACACAAAAAAGTGCTGAATAAATATGAGTGTAAAGTATTATTACGTAGCAATTAACCTGAGCTCTGTAAAGTTGTATATTTTGCTGAATGGAATATGCTTTGGGTTTCTTCTGTTACTTTTAATTCCTTAATCTTACATTAAATTATGTCTTACCTCTTTGGCAAAGATGCATAGAATACATCAGAAACAGCATCATTGTATTCTGAAAACCGTTGGGTGCTTTTTTTGTGTTTTACTTTTTATTATTTCACTACTGTACTGGAATAAGAACAGATTCATTGTCCCTGAAGGAATGGGGATTTGCAGTTTTTAAATGAGATACCGAGTTGACTCAGGACCTGAATAGTTTTCAGAGACCTTCGTCATTTCACCTGAGTCTCTGTCCGTCCCCATTGTGAAGCCAGTCCTGAATCTGTCAGTACGGCCTTACGTTATTAAAGGAAGGAGTGGTGACCAAGCACAACTGCATAGTCTGTTTTATTTTTAACTAGCACTTTGCAGATAAATGAAACAATTAAATGAGAAGTATTTACAATTGGAGAAACACATGAATTCCATTTTGGAATAAAACAGAGCAGAATAAATTTTTAGGAAATCAGCCTTCACATTTCAGCAGATACATTTTTGTCCTCATCACTTTACCTTTGTAAGTTGTTTCCTGTGTCCTGTGTCCGTATATTAAAGGCCAGCCACCTTGTTATGTGCCACAATAAAACAATTTTTTTAAAGTTCTCCCAGCTGAAAATTTCAGTTCCTTAAAATGCCGTTCCCTAGATGCTCTCTGTACTGCTTTCTCTCCCTCAAACGCCACTGTGGACACTGCTTCGACCTCCCGACGTGACGGGAGCTCCCTTGGTTGGCTCAGTGCTGCTCATGAAGCTGTGGCTCTTGCTGCCCTCCAGCCTTCCCTGTGCCCCTCCCCACCCGCACACCTTAGCCGAAGTGTTAGGTCCTCGTTGCTGCAGCTCCCTGTCTCCACCTGTGACCATGGGCCCAAAGTGGGGTCTTGTTTGCTGTGTGCCCGGGACCCCCATCGCACTCACATTCAGACATGTTAACAAAACTGCTCTTCTCACTGTTACCTCGCTCGGTCTCTGAAGGATGTGGTAACTGTGGTCCGCGGTTCTTAATTTGCTCAGAAACGAAGGAAACGGAAAACTGCTCTGACACTGAAGTCTGAGCTGGGTGTGGTGGCTCATCCTGCAATTCCAGCACGCTGGGAGGCTGAGGAAGAGCGGTCACAAGTCAGAGCCCCAGGCAGAGGCCTCAGCTCTGACTTTTGACCTTCTGCCTCAGCAGCTGGAGATTTAGCAGGACCCTGTCTCAACATGGAAACTTAAGAGCTGGGAATGCAGCTCGCTGGGTCCAGAGGCCTTGGCTTCAATCTCCACTGGCCACACCAAAAGAACTGGAGTCTAGGCTGGCTGTGCTGCCGCGTGCCTGTAACTTCAGCTGCTGGTATCATTCGCTTCTTTGCTAGACCACATTCCTTGAATTCGAAAAACATGTTTTGTCTTTCCTTTACAGGTGACTCTTTAAAGGGGAAAGTCACAGTTCACAAGAATAAGAAAGATCCTCGTTCTCTCATCGTGACCCTCACCGTGAACAGTTCCACACAGACTTACGGTCTCCAGTGAGAAAGCTGTGCCAGCACAGCTGCTTGCAGCACTAGTGGGGTGGGAGGGGAGCAGGTTTTCCTGGAGCCCCTGGGCGGAGGGCCCTGTGCTGAGTGTCCTCAGTAAGGAGCACAGGAGGCGACGGCTGCCCTGCAGGTGCAGACAGCCTAACTGATCCTCGCAGTCCGCAGTAGCGTTTCCAGGTGGCTGTGCAGCTGGGGTTCACCAGCCGCAGCCCTCTGCTGAGTTTAGCTGTCTCGAAAATCGTGTACTTGGCCTACACTCGGAGCAGTGATAGTCTTCTTGTCCTTAGTAAGTTTCTTAACTGTAAGTATTAAACAGTAATAATTGATTAGTTTTTAAATGTTTTTGTTAAACTAGTAACAGGAAGTAGGTTTTACTGCGAATTTCCTCTCAGGAGGGATAGTTTGTAGTTGTATTGCTGGAATACCAAGATGTTACAGCTTAGAGTGACAGATAAGGGACTGAAAGCAGGCATCAGCCTTCTCCTGTCCTTTACACCTGCAGTTCCCATTTTGTAGATCCCTCTCTGAATACTCTTTAGCCACAGACCTCTAGTACTGCCCAGGAACCTAATTTTAATGTATTTATCCTGTGTTTCATACAGATTTTTAAAGAATGGGATAAATGTATACTTATTTACTAATATATTACTTTTTTCAAACTAGATTATGTGCAAAAGTTAAACATCCAATATACTTGCATCACTCTACAGATTGTGTCGTTTGCAATCATTGATTCGGTTTGGATCAGAATGAAAAATAGTTCCACATAATTAAGGCCTTTTGTGAGATGAGATGGGATGTGTGTGAGACCGTCTGACAGGAGCGGCGGGCATGCGCAGCAGCAGCCACTGGTTCCTCGTCGGGACAGCGCAGACCGGGCGGCTTAGCGTGGTGCTGAGCAGCTCGGGGCGCAGTGCGGGGCTGCAACCCTGAGCCTCACTACTGTGGCGTGACCCTTCCGTGAATGTGCTGGTCCGTGTTGCTCCATCCCACCTGCTTAGGTCAGTGCCCGCACACCGCAGTGCTCAGTAAGTGTCAGGGGACGATGTCATGTCATTGTGCACTCGAGGGCTCCTCCTGAAGATCGCATGGCACCCACATTTGATAAGTTTGACAGTCATCAGGTAGTAATTGCCACCCTAATACGAAAACAAGAAAGAGCTGGCTGTGGTGGTGTGCACCTGTAATCTCAGCGTGTGGGAGGCTGAGGCAGGAAGTCACCTCGAGCGAGGCCAGCCTGGGCTACACAGTGAGTTCAAGGCTTGTCTGAACTACATAGTGGGACTGTCAGAAAATAGCAGGCAAGGTTACAGTAGAATATTAAAATGGCAAAGTCTGAATCAAAAAGAAATTGTCTTTGTTTTTGTTAGAAAAAGACTTAGCGGAAGTCCAGAAAAATAACCCTTTCACATGATGGTATCAGGACCTTATGTAGACTTTAGCTTTGCTGCATAAGCGTGATTTGTTTTCATTGGTTTAAAACAGCCAGTTTGTTTTCAGCAGAATTTGAATCCAGACCATTACTGAAAATGCGTGGTGCTAGTAATACAGTTTCAAATTCCTTGAGATGGGATCTCACCGTGTTGCCCAGGCTGTCCTCGAGCTCCTGGACTTGAGCAGACCCTCTTGCCTCAGCCTCCCAAGTACCCGGGACTACAGGCGACTACCACCACACTTCTCATTAAAAGTTCTTTAAATTTTGTCCTAAATGACTTCCTGTACAAAAATGAATAGGTTAAGATGATAAATAAGGAGGCCCACAAGAAGATGTCATGGATTTTTTAAGTGACCAAAAACCAAATAGGGGTTGGGGGTGGTTGTAAATGAATAAAGACTATTTCTTACTATTTGAAAAAGTTTCTGAAAACTTTTGTTTTCATGGAGTTTTCACCCACTGACTCTTGATTTCTTCTTCTGGCTCGGCCGTAGTTTGATTTGTTCTTTGAAGTGAGCCTTCCCACGCTGGGACATTCTAATTTGTGTACCTAGCATTTTATGAAAACATCAATATCCAAATGTTAGCTCTTCAATTGGAATTTCTGCTGTTAAACTACTGTGAAAGATAGTGCTTCGTAGCCCTTGACAATGATAAATACAGTGTCCTTCCATGCTGTGGGCAGATGAGCATTTATAGATATCAATTCACTTTATTTCCATAAAGAAAATACATTTTGCTCCCAACATTATTACCCTGTAATGTGGCGCTCATCTGACTGATAAATGGCAGTCACCTGTTTGGAGAACAGCGTGTTCTGAAGAGAGCATTCCGGAAGAAGTGTTCCAAGAAAACGGAACTCAAGGAAGTGTACATTGCACAAAGCTGTTCGAGAAACAGCTCCCGCTGCTGCAGAACACAGCTTAAAGTCAGGCAGCTGCCTTGGAGTCTAACTGAAGCAGTCTCTCCGAGGGCTGGGCAAGGGTGAGAATCTTGATCCTACAGAGGAACTGGCTGCTTCCTGCTAATGGAGATTAACCGGTGTGGCCCGCCTGTGTCCAGTGGCCTCAAAAGGGTACGTACGGTAGCTAAAATGTCCGGTGTGAAGTTACTGATCGGAGATGGGCCACAGGAGCTTCGGCAAGCAAGCTTTCAGGTGGAGGAGTGGGCTCTCAGAACTACAGCGAGAGAAAACATCAGGGGGTGGGACAGCCACTTAGCTCCTGCCAGCCGAGCCAGAAATTACAGTTTAGGCAGCTGAGCTGCATTTACAGCCAAACCATCCAGGTGTTCATATTTTTCTCTATACCAAAATAAAAACTGAAAGTACTAGTTCACAAATGTTATCTCTACTTGCTATGTCATTCCTTCATGAGACACCAGTTTGTGATGAAAAGGTCAAGCATTTCATCACAAAATCTCCTGGGGTAGAAATCGTCTTGGTGTCTCATGCACTGGTGACGGAGTTTTCTCTTAGCGTCAAGAATGACAGTGATGCTGTGGTGGGCTTCCACCTTCTGAGTCGGCATCATTCCGAGCAGGAATTGTCACCCTTCACACAAGACTGGGCCAGGTCCTGACCCGCCCAGCTGCCTCATCCCCATGGCTTGTTTCAGTCAAACGAAGGGCACGAGTCCCCCATGTCGGCCCTTCTTGCCACCTTAGCTCCCTGCATTCTGCCGTAGGAAAGGGGACGGCGGTGAGGCCACGGCATACAGAACTCCACAAGAGTTGGGGAGAAGCTAGCTATGCCTCACCCTACTTTTGTGAGTCTGGTTTTATTTGAAACAAAGGTGAGTTTAGGTAGAAGGCATGAAGCGGTCCTTCACAAAAAAGAAATATAAAAGGAAACAAGCAGAAAAATATTTTACTTTCCCTTATCATCAAAGAGATTTAATAGAAGTCAAGATACATTTCTTGTATCCCGATGAGCAGTTTTTTTTTTTCATTCACAGAACCTATTGGTGGCAGAGTATGAGAAAACCAACGTTGTCTTGTGTGATTACTAGGACTACACAATCTTTTTACAACAAACACTCTTGACAATACACATCCCTATTTAAAATGCATATGCATATCAAATTGGAGTTGGGAACTTTATCTTGAAAAGATAACTGGACAATATGGGATCAAAAACTAATGGTGGTATCAAACTTCATCCAAATAATAAAATACTAGAATAAAAAACAAAAAATGAATTGTAAGGTAGAATTGTCAGTCTCAAATCTGTAATCTATGGTTGTGTATCTTCATCAAGGAAGCAGCGGATATGGAATCCTGAGCTCCTACAATGGGAGGGACCCTGGATGAAGGATAGGGGAGGGCATTAGGGCAGAGGATATGTCATAGAACCAGCCAGAAGCCAAGGTCAGATATTACTTCTGCCTTTAGGAGCTGAGTAATTTTATGAGTTTTTTAGAACTTTCTAACCCTGGCTTCACCCTTTCAGGAAAACATAAAATAGTAAACATTTCCGTTGTAGTTGGGAGTCACTGCAGTGTTTAGCAAGTAAGCTTTATGTGATGGGTACTAACATTTTAATATAAGTAAAAGCATTTTGGAAACTGTAAAAATGTTAACCAGACACTAACAGGTGCAGCCTGGGATTTTAGTGAATGCAGTACTGTACTGAGCAGAAATTGATCAAGGGAGGCAAGGAGAGATTGCAGTCTACCAGGAGACAGAGCACCTGCTGAGGGCCCGACACTGGGAATGGCCCAGTGGGCAGGGGACACGTTCCACAGGAAGAATACACAGGACTCAGTGACCGGCCAGTACCTGGAGATGAGTAAATGTGACAAGTTCAGAAGGTCACCAAGATGTCAAATTTGGAAAAATAATGAACTTCATGAAGAATGCTTCATCTGAAATGTGTTGAGAGGCAGGGGAAAATCCTATGAAGGATTTGTTTATTCTTTCATAAATGTTAATCTGGCTAGCACTGTGGTATGTTCGGGCAGATGGCAATGTGGTGTTAGTGGGGGAACAAACTTTAATCAGATGATCACAAAATGATGGAACACAAATTTGTAATGAGTGTAAAAAGAAGAGATACTCTTCTGGTATCTTCCTGAAAGAGTAAAAGACATTATACTACAGCAATACATGCATGCCTGTGTTTGTAGCACCACAACTCATAAGAGCTAAATCTTGGAAGTGGCCTATATTTCCATCAGTAGATGAGTGGACAAAGGAAATGTCGTATTTACACAGAATGGAGTACTATTCTGCCATAAAGATAAAGAGTCATTTGTAGGAAAATAGATGCACCTTGAGACCATAAGTAAATCAGATGCAGAAGGTTAAATATGGCATGGTTTCTCTTGTGTGGAAAACTCAAAATATAAATAATTTAAAGAGTAAAATAAAACATAGATAATAAGAAACAGGGAGATAGACTGAGATGGGAGATGGGAAGGTGATCTGAAAGGGAAGTCAAAAGGATTACTGTGGGCCAGGGATTTAGCTCAGTGGTTCCGCCGCCTGCCTCACAAGTCCAAGATCCCGAGTTCGATCCCCGGTACCAAAAAAAAAAGGATTACTGTGATACGTTGTATCCTGAAGATAAATGCAATTATTATATAATGCAAACAGACTTTTAAAATTTAACAATATTTTTAAAATATTAAAACTAAAGGAAACAGAGGTGCACGGGGTATGGAAGCTGCAGGACGGGTTTCCTGGAGAAGAGACGGTTGAGGGGAGTGCTGGAGAATGAGCGGAAATGCAAACAGCTGGGTATGGCTTTCTGCGAGGCAGTTTATAATTACCCGTGTCAATCAGAAATTCGCGGAGGCGAGTGTGCCTTTGAGTCCTACGGGAGGCTTTGCTGAAATGCAGATTGCGGTGCCTTCCCCAGGCTTTCTGATTCCCTGTGTCCGGGGCGCGGAGACCCGCATCTCTAGAGAGTCCGGGGCTGGCCCCAGTGGCTGACAGGGAGGGGCAGGCACACCTGGAGAGTTGCTGCCCCCACCCACGCTACCTACCTCTTGCCGACTAATCGGACTACATGTGAGCAAACACTTCGAACAAATGTTTTCCGGGCGGCTCCCCACAAAAAATCAATTTCCAAAGTCTTTTGGTTGCGATGTTTTTACACTAGGTTGAATGTTAACATCGAATGTTCAACCTTTCAATCATTGAAAAAAATAAAAAACCCAAACCCAAAAGCAGCATGGTAATTGTAGAATCGCCCTGCAGTTAGCTCTGGGTGAACAAATGTCAAAGCTTTGTAAACAACACTAATGGAATCTTTGAAGGGACAGAGTGGCCAACCTGCCTGCAGCAGGGTAGGAAACTGTGTGCAGAGCAAACGGGGCCGTGTCGGGAGAAGAATGGGTCAATTTTGCACAAGCCTGTAATTTGTGGCATAAGAATTCTGCTCTTTGGTGTCTGGGAAATGAGAAGCTACTCACCATCGATTGCTGAGACATTTTAATACTTTAAAAACCCATTTTTGGGCCGGGGATTTAGCTCAGTGGTTTCGCCGCCTGCTGCACAAGCGCAAGGACCCGAATTCGATCCCTGGCACCAAAAAAAAAAAAAGATAAAAGCCCATTTTTAAGATACCACAAGGAATGCATGAATACATTGCCCTTCCTGCAAATTAAACCAGTACAGATAAGTCTATGCCTCCCCAACACTAATTCTGTCTCTTTCTTCAAAAATAATTTATGTTGTTCATTTGGAGTTTATGTTCTCAGACCCTCTTCTAATACAGTTGTTAAGAGAACAATGGGTTATTATTTTGTGTGATGGAGCCATACTCTCTATATTGTTCTACAATTTGCCTTTTTTCTCGTCCACTGGTATGTCTTACAGATTTTTCTATGTCAGTACATAGTTCCACCACTTTCTTCTTAATTTCTTGCATATAATTGCATAATATAGAACAAGACCTATTTATAGATGGACACTTAATCTCATTCCTCCTTCCCAGTTTGTTATTTTTTAGTGAAAACAGCATTGCTAGAATAAACATTGTCAGATGTGCCTCTTTTGGGCACAGTTCGGTGCTTTTCCAAGGGACACACTGTAAAACAGGGCCACCGAGACTTGACACTGGAGAACTTTACTCCAATTCTACTGCCAATCTGCCTCCTCCCTCCACCCACGAGGTAGCCTAATCTAGACAGGACAACTGCTTCTGTATACACGTGCTAGTAGTTGATATTACCAAATGCTAAGTGTTACCAATCTAGTGGCTAAACAAACTATTATTTCATATGTGATTTTCATTTCTCGGGGGGGGGGGGGCAGGTCTTTGCACGATGCTCTAACTGCAGCCCTTTATTTTTTATTTTGCGACGGGTCTCACTAAGTTGCTAAGTTCCCCTAAGTGGGCCTGAAATTGCAGACCTCTTGCCTCACTTTCCTGGAATGCCGGGGTTACAGGCGTGTGCCCCCATGCCCGGCTTGATT